TTTCGCGGCAGCGACCCGTCCTCTTGCGAGGCGCGCTGCGTGAGGACTTGGGCGCGTGGGAGCGGGAGGCGCTGCAAGTTGGCCTCGACGACACGGGGCTCCGTGTGTTCACGCTTGCTTCACCGCGCGCGGGCCGCTCCACGATAAAGCCGCTGCCGGAGTTTGAAGCCATCCAAAACGGAGAGCAGCACAAGCTCAGCCAGCACGCTTCGGACTCCACCCTCTCGCCGGATACCGTTGTCGAGGCGCGATGGGCGCCGCACGCGCACCTGCATAATCACACCCTGGAGCTACTAGACCTGCAGCCCGTCACTGGCTGGGTGAGCGAGCTCGCGCGCGGCATGGCGGTGCTCAACAACTACCAGATCAACGTGGGCTCGCCCTTCTCCGGCACCTCCCTCCACTTCCACTACATGGCGGTGAGCGCATTGCTGCACGGCCGGAAGCGGTGGTTCCTATACCCTCCTGCCGACGCATCGTACAGCAACGCCCACTTCTTTGATGACTTTGAGCCTGCGCGCCGCGGTCAGCTCGGCCGCCAGCTGGAGTGCACGCAACAGGCTGGCGACGTCTTGTTTGTGCCCAGCCTCTGGGCGCACGGCGTGCTCTACGAGGAGAACTCGGTCTCGGTCTCCTTTCTATACAGTGATAGCCAGAGTTCAGGCGGGACATAGTACCTGGTAGTGTGTTAGGTGTGTATGTTGTTGGCAAAGGTAAGTTTAATCAAAATCGGAAGGGGTGGGAGAGAGTGAGAGAGAAAGAGAAAACAAAATCCACACACCAACAAACCCGGCGATTTCCGACATTGACTCGTGCTATTAGCGAGCGCGGAGATTTTGTTGCTTTACGTGCCGATTTGGGATTTGCCGTGAGGTGTGCTTGCACAGACATTGCCCGAGCCCCAGCGACCGCCGGTCCGCTCGGCTCAAGTCAGTGGAATGGCGGGGCTCGCACAAAACGCGTGGTCGAGTCACGTTTGCGCACAATTCTGCTCCACGAAAACGCAAACGTGGACAGTGCGGTGCTCCTGGAAACGCTGCGGGGGCTGCTCCGAGTGTTCCGAGCTACCGTCTGGGCTTGCTCCGTCGCCGCATACGCTGACTTCGCCGCCGCCGTGGCCGGCGGCGCCGACAACAGCATGCAGGCGCTTTTGCGCCTTCAGTACGGGGCCGTGGGAGTATAAGTGCACCTGGGAGGCCTGCCGGGCCTGCTCAGCGTGCTCCACGCCGCCAGCACCGTCAACACTGCCGCCGCCAGCGATTCCGTCAATCTGGCCGTCGATGGCGTGCGCCCAGTGGTGCAACGACGCCCTTGGGACGTGGGAACTCAAGTGTTCATCAGCTGCATGCGCCGGCTGCGCGGATTGTGAGGTCGAGTTGGTGGGTGACGTGACACTTGATTTAGGCTCTGGGATCAGCGACGGCTTCAGCGACGTTGGTTCAGCGTTTGAAGACGGCTC